CGATTTTCACCGCGACACAAGCCTTCAGATTATATTAGACTTGGGGGCAAGAGAAGTCAAACTAAAGGGAGACTCAGAGCCGGTGAGTTGACATTTAATGAAGGAGTACAAATGCATCAAAGATAACTTCATGTTATACTTTTTACAAGCCATCCGTTTGTTGAAATGATTTGACCATGTGTTAATCAATCACATCCTTCGACTAGAAAATCAGGAGGCTAATGATTTAGATCAGGTAGCATTAGGATATAAAACCTCAAAGGAGAGGTTAGAAGGCCTAATCGAGATTAAAGAAAATTTAGTATCAGAGGATAACCCTTAAGACACCTCGTCAATGGTAAAACTTTAGGGGGAACACGAGCATGAAGGTTCACAAGACTTAGAGGACTTGGAATTCAACAGAGGTGTGAACTATAAAGTTTTAGCCATTGGCTTAATGTCAGGTAATGATTGACTAAAACCCATATTCGAATATTTGCAAAATCCAACGGGGGAAACCGATAAAAAAGTTAAGTACAAAGCTTTGAGCTATTAGTTATGGGTAACGAATTGCTGAAAAAGACCCCTAAAGGACTTCTCCTCAAATCTCTGGGCGAAAGTGAAACCTACTTGGAAATATCTGAGGTGCATAAGGGATCATGTGGCTCGCACCAAACTGGTCATAAGATGAAATGATTATTGTGTCGACTAGGGGTGTATTGACCAACCACGTTGAAAGATTGTATAGACTTCGCCAATGGATGCCAAGAATGCCAGAAGCATTTGGGCATCCAATATGTGGCTGCCAGTGAGTTATACTCAATAGTAAAGCCATGGCCTTTTAGAGGCTGGGATTTAGACATAATTGGTGAGATCAAACCCTCTTCTTCAAAAGGACATAAGTATATTTTGGTGGGAATAAACTATTTCAATAAGTGGATAAAAGTTATACCTTTACCTAATGTCGACCAAGAGGAGGTGATAAGTTTCATCTAGAACCATATCATATACAAATTTAGGATTCTTGAAACTATTACAACTGACCAAGACTCAGTTTTCACAGGGCATAAAATGGTACAATTCACCTCTGTAACTGGGTTTAGGCTTTTAACCTCGGCGCCATATTATGCTTAGGCCAACGATCAGGTTAAAGCGGCCAATAAGATATTGATTGGGATGATTAAGAAACATGTGGGGCAGAAGCCAACTAATTGGCATAACACCCTAAACCAAGTTGTATGGGAGTGTCGCAACTCTTCCAAAGAGTCAACTAAATCTACACCTTTTCGACTTGTGTATGGGAAAGATGCAATATTGCCTCTAGAAATCTACCTGCAGTCGATCAGGATTCAAAGGCAATCTAAGATCCCAACCGAGTTCTATTGGGGAATGATGTTCAACGAGCTAGCTCAGTTAGATGAGGACAGATTAAATGAGAGGGTTGATAAAGCCTACAACAAATAGGTTAAGCCCAAAACATTTAAAGAAGGAGACCTAGTTTGGAAGGTCATATTGCCTATGGATCGAAAAGATAGGACATTGGGAAAGTGATCCCCAAATTGGGAAGGACCTTTTAAAATTCTACAAACGCTCTTAAATAATGCATATGAAATTGAAGAGTTGACCCTTGAAGGTCGAACCCTGGGAATAAATGGCAAATATTTAAAATAGTATCGGCCTATTTTCAAGAAATATGCATAGATGTAGAACAATCAATAAATTGCAAAATCAAGAAGGCTTTAGAAAACTGATAGCCTTTAATATTGTCAAAATTCCATGAAAGGAATATTTAAATATTACATCAAGTTTAAATGTCAAATCATAGCCACAAGCGGTGAAAGATAAATCAACAAAAAGTTAAGTAAAGCTACTATCCTAGAAAGGGAAATTTGGCTTGATACACTCATACTGAACTTTGACTGAGGTGAGTTAATGATCAATCTAAGAAAGGGTTAAGGCATTGGTCAAAAGCTCGTTATCAAGGGCGGCAACCGTCTCCAAATATTGAATACCTTTTTGAGTCTCCTTGTTCAGTTGGATTTGGCTGAATCTTTGCAGATTGTTTTTCTCTGCTTCAACATCCCGTATCTTTTTCTGCAGCGCCTCTATTTCTTTCTTCCATCCAGAGATTTGAGTGTCCAGGGAAGTGACAATGTTATTTTCCAGAAGAAGAATTTCTTCAAGTTCCTCCATGCGTTAGTCCTACCCACTGGCCAAGTTCCACACTTCGGATTTCTCGGTCACTTTAGGCGCCACCCTGGTCTTGGTGCCATGCTTGTATTGAAAGTCAACATGGACTTGGTGAAAAAGAGGCCCAAAGGTAACTAAGAAGTCGACCACTTTGACAGGAGCATCCAGAATATCCAGTTTCTCCATAAGATTTTTAATGTTGTAGCCATATATGAAGTTTTTCTCCAAAGCTTCAAAAAGGTCGACATCCCTAACAAGGGTTCTTAGTTGCTTCAAAATCAATTCGAAAGACTCAGGACCAGTGGTCCTTGTTGCAACTGCAAAAAATAATTGGAAGAAAAACAGAGTCGCCACCGAATGTTATTGATCCTGACGGGGGAAGGGAAACGGTCGAGTAAACCTCAAAAAGGGAGAAGACATGGTCTCGCAACTAAATCCTGGGTCCGGTAGTCGATTACGCGAGAGGAAGGCACTCCCTCGCGTTCGTTGTACTCAATGGGATCCACTTTTGTTATTATAATCAAATGGTGTGTTTATCTAAAGCCTACTTACTAAACGGAAACTGAACAAAAGGTAACTCGATAGGAAATCGTCGTCCTATACCTACGTATTCCCTCGTGCAATGCAAAAGTCAGAGTTAACGTAGTTTGGAGGACTACAGGTGAATGAGGGAATTGTGCTCGCTAAGACATTGCCATCTTGTGCCTACATATCTTTATTCGAACGAGAATGAAGAAGTCAGAGCGCTCATAGTTCGACAGAGTAACCACAAATTGGTTAAGTGTTTTTTATGAGCGGCATTAGATTCACGTTCCAGCAGTTAGGTTCGATGCCTGTTTGCAGTAGAACGGAAATACCATGCTCTTTTCTGAAAATGATTCGAGGAACAATCCCAAAGGATAAAAATATTTGCATTTCGTTTATGAGTTTTAGACAGGAGTGAATTAAGTTAGTTTGGGACTCGTATTGCACTAAAGTCTATGACATAGGAGCAAATGCTTCGCAAGATCAACCCAAGACGGGACATATGCCAAACACCTTAGACAAGGTAAGAAGAGACTCCCTCTTATCAATTCTCATGTACTTAAGGCTCGTGACACATAATACTCGTCATATTTATTAAGTGTTTTGGTTTTGTTTTGAAATGAGAAGAAAGAGGACCCAAAGGTTGAAAAGAAAACAACTAAGGGAAACTAACTCCTAATGTTGTCATGTACAATGGTCCTAAGGTTGGGATAGAAAGGGAACTCTACCTAATGTTAGCATGCAAAGAGATAGACCTAAGGTTAAGGTTTAAAAGGAACTACCTTAATTGTTATCATGCAAAGATTTACCTAAAGTTAGGTTGAATGGGAATAAGATGTATACACATTATTAACATCACACAACAAATGAATAAAAACATAAATTGAAAAGAAAAGTGCATGGATACCACAACAAATTTAATCTAATATAATCATAACAATATTGGATCGTCCAAACTTAGCACAAATTAAAAAAAGAGAAATTGCTATCGCGTAAGCGGTCATCACAAATCGAATCAAGAAACAACAAGGTAATAAAAATATTACAAATTGCAAATCGATACGCGAATCGATAAGTGCAAAAAGTGAATTGTTACTACGCTAAACCGTCAGACTCATCTAAAATCGGAATACAAGGATAAATAAATATAGCACATCACATATAAATCGATAAAACCACCACTAGCTTACTACACTTAACATGATCATCGCAAGAGGGACCAAAAATAATGCGGATCCAAATTTATCAAAAACGTAAAGCAAAAGGAATTTTAAAATGCGTTAAAAAATAATATTGCTAACGCAAAAAATGCGATCATCGCAACCGGATTGAACTAACACCAATGTCATGCATCATGCATACAAATATGTGAACAGCGTATCGACACCATTCGATCTGAATAATTTTAATAAAAATGGAATTAACTATATATATATATATATATATATATATATATATATATATATATATATATATATATATATATATATATATATATATATATATATATATATATATATATATATATATATATATATATATATATATATATATATATATATATATATATATATATATATATATATATATAAACAAAACATGTTGTATATACAGTAAAACACAATATATGTATATTACATATTAAAACAAAATGTGGGTTATATTTACTAGTAAAACAAATATTGCATATATTATGATACATATTAAAATATAGGTTATGTATATATACTGAAACACAGGCACGAATCCACTCATAGTGGAATGGGTCAAGTGACCCCACTTGATTTTTTTTTAAAACCAATAATAATTAATTTTGGAATATTGACCCCACATTAGATATATTATTATCCAATACTACTCATTTGATTTGAATTCTAGAAACCATAAATCTGACTATTAATTTTATTTTATTACCTTTTTTAAAATAGAAAATAGAAATTAAAAAGACACAAGTAAATTGTATTTATATAGGTTTTTCTAATTATAAATCAATTTACATACATACTCTATTTTTTTGTCTTCTTTCTTCTACACACTTTATTTTTTCTTCACAAATCTCCTACTTTTAAATCTTATTTGTTTTTATTGTTTTATCATAGTATAGTTAAAAGACAATATTCAAGTAAGTTTCTCCCTTCATTCTTTTTGTTGTTGTTGTTGTATATTATATTATTATGTTGTGATTACATATTTTTATATCAATTTTTATCATGTTTTTAGTTTTAATTTTATCCTTGTAGAGTTGTAGTTCAGTAGTTGTATTAGAATCAAGTAACTAATTAGTGTTAAATTTTTATTTGTTAGAAATGGAAAAATATTTTAAAAGAAAATCAACATTGGAGTCTCAACAAGTTAATGAAGTGGAAAATGCATTTGCACAACAAGTTGGGCCATCTTTGAAAAAAATATTTTTAGATGTTGATTTAGATAATCTTCCTGTTGATCCTGGAGAAAGGAATCAAATGGCATGTTATCACCCAAATGATCGAGATGAAATCCGAAGAGCTTATTTACAAAAAGGGCCTTGTCAACCAAAGGACCATAATTTTCAACAACGACAATTTGGTACGTCTTTACGTAAGTTCAATCCTGATTGGTTTCTTGAATTTGGTAGTTGGTTGGAATATACTGTATCAAAAGATGTTATTTTTTGTTTATGTTGTTACCTTATGAGACATGAGATAGGAGAACACAAAGGTTGGGATGCATTTGTGACTGAGGGATTTTCAAATTGGAAAAAGAAAGATAGACTCAATGTCCATGTTGGAGGTCCTAATAGTGCTCAGAACCAAGCTTGGAGAAAATGTAATGCACTAATGAATCAAAAACAACATATTGAAGTTGCTATCAACAAACAATCTGACTTGATTAAAAGGGAATATCATATTCATTTAACTGCAATAGTTGATTGTATTGGACTTTTATTAAAGTTGGGATTAGCATTTCGCGGTGATGATGAATCAGTGGATTCAAAGAATAAAGGTAATTTTCTCGAGATTCTATAATTTCTTTGTAATCATAATGAAGAGATTGATGAAGTATTGAAAAAATCTCGTGTAAATCTCAAATTAGTGTCACCTAGCGTTCAAAAAGATATTGTGAAAGTTGCTGCTTCTGAGACCATAAAAGTTATTATTGATGATCTTAACAATGATTTGTTCTCTATTTTAATTGATGAATCTCGAGATGTTTCAGTTAAAGAGCAAATGTTTGTTGTTTTACATTATGTAGACAAGAAAGGACGTGTCATTGAGAGGTTTCTTGGTATTGTTCATGTTGCAAATACAAGTTCCATGTCTTTAAAGTTAGCACTGGAGTCCTTATTGGCAAAGTACAATTTAAGCTTTTCAAGAGTTCATGGACAAGGATATGACGGGGCAAGTAATATGCAAGGAGAGTTTAATGGCCTCAAAAGTTTGATATTGAAAGAAAATAAGTGTGCATTCTATGTTCATTGTTTTGCTCACCAACTTCAGTTGGCACTTGTAGCGGTTGCTAAAAAGCATGATGACATTGCTTGGTTTTTTCTTATAGTTAATAATTTATCTAATGTTGTTGGAGCTTCATGCAAGCGCAGAGATATTCTTAGAGAAAGTCAAATTCTTAAAGTAATGGAAGCATTAGAGAGTGGAGAAGCTTTAACTGGTTGTGGCTTGAATCAAGAAACTACGCTAACAAGAGCTGGAGATACTAGACGGGGATCACATTATGGTACATTACTAAGGTTTGTTTCTTTGTTTCCTTCTGTGTGTGATGTGCTAGATATGATTTTAAAAGATAGCCTTAGCGCAGAGCAACGAGTTGAAACTCGTCAATTATTGAATATTTTACAATCCTTTGAATTTATTTTTAAATTGCTTTTGATGAGAAATATATTGGGAATTACTAATGATTTATCTCAAGCACTGCAAAGAAAAGATCAAGATATTGTAAATGCTATGACATTTGTTAAAGTATCGAAGGAAAGATTGCAAAATATGAGAGAAGATGGTTGGTCAAGTCTACTAGATGAAGTGTCATTATTCTGTGAGAAGCATAATATTGACATTATAAATATGGATGATGTCTTCATGTTACATGGAAAACCAAGTCGTAAAGTTGAAAAAGTTTCAAACTTGCATCACTTTCAAGTCGAGGTCTTTTATCAAGTGATTGATAGACAACTTCAAGAACTGAATAATAGATTTACCGAGGTGAATAGTGAATTGCTTATTTGTGTAGCAAGTTTAAGTCCACGAGATTCATTTGTTGCATTTGACAAGGAAAAGTTGATTAATCTGGCTCGATTTTATCCATCCGAATTTTCTTTGGTAGAGCTTATGGGACTCGACAATCAACTTGAAAATTACATCATGGATGTTTGTTCTAGTGAGCAATTTTCTAATTTACAGGGAATTAGTGATCTTTCAAGAATGATGGTGGAGACTAAAAAACACATTGCTTATCAAATGGTGTACTTACTTTTGAAGTTGACATTACTTTTGCCGGTGGCTACGACAACCGTTGAAAGAAGTTTCTCAGCTATGAATTTTATGAAGAATCAACAGCCCAACCGTATGGGTGATGAATTTTTGAATGATTGTTTGGTAACATACATAGAGAGTGATATATTTGATAGTGTTGAAAATGAAAAAAATTTACAACACTTTCAAAATATGAAGACACGTAGAGAGCAATTATAATCTTTGAATATTATGTTGTCTTCATTTTTTTTAATATATATTTGTGCTTTTTTTGTTGTAATATTTAACTTTTAAGATATATATTATCATCATTTTATACATAAGTATTTATATTTTTTTATAAATATTTATATTATTTGATTTTTATTTTTGTATTAAAAGAAATGAACCTTGACCCTATTAATTAAAATTTCTGGATCCATCTCTGCTGAAACATTGACATGTATAAGATTAAGGAAATGTATTATACTGAAACATGCATGTGCTATGATATTATAATTTTGAAACGTGTATTATGTATAGGATTCATAGAATGTATGTATCATGTATGTGCTATAATAAATGGTTAGAAATAATTAGAAAAAAGGAAACCAATCAGTATCAAGTAATAGCTGCTGCGCACACAACTCTATGTATCGTCGTTGAAATCGCCAATTAATTTACTTGGTGCAAAAGACAATGCAAGTAGGCGCTGCTACTACCGAGTTTTTCTTTTAGCCTCCCCTTTTTTCAGCACCAAAACATTATATATATATATATATTATCAAATTAGGGTTAATTCAAAATTCTCAATAATGTCCCTAATATATATTTTAAAGTTTAAATTAAATAATTAGTTAAATCTAAAATAAAATTAACATTTAAAATAAAGTTAAAATTAAAATACTAATTATCCTATTTATTTATTTTAAATAATTAGACAAAAATGTAAAAATAACCAGAACTCAAATAAATAAAAGTCGGGCGTTCAGGTGTTCGAAAAAAAATAAATTGTGTACACCAAAATGATCAGCGCGAAATATACGACTCAGAAAAATACAACGTTTGGTCAGATTTTAAAATAAATTTTGACCCGTTAAAACGCTCAAACTGATCAAAATGCGACGAAAAATGGTAAAAAAAATTAAATTGATCACGTCGGGTTAAACTACGTGAAATATAGACCAATATAATTGACGTCTGCAAACTCAATTTTAAAATTTTTTATCCACCGATTGTATGCACCGTTGAGATTCAGTTTGACCGGTCTGTCTGTAAATCTGAGAAATTATTTCGGTGACATTTTAGGCACTATACGAGATAAAATGCATGCTATGTAAAGTAAAAATAAAATCAGATGAATGAAAAAAAAAATGACTGGACAAAATCATGACTGAATAACCACACTTGACTTAAAACCAAAATTCCTGCCCTTGAGTGCACATTGATCCTCTTGAAAAATCACGCAGAAGATGACCTTAATATCTAATGAGCCTTGATAAAGAAGATAATCATGATGTTGGAAACTCAATCTTTGTCTCAACTCAAGTGTAATAGCCAGATAAATCACTTCTGACTAGGGAAAACTCAAATCACAAAAAAAAAACCTTGATCCCATGTCTTAGGAGCTCAATGTAAATGAAAGAATGCAAAGTTATGACCTCATGAAAACACAAATAAAAGAGAAACACAAGCCAATTAAGGTTAGAAAAAGAGAGGGAAAATTTTAGGGTGTTACAGTTCTTCCAAATATAGTCGAAGAAATTTAACCTCTGCCAATGGAACTACCCTTAGTACCCAGAGCCATTTTCATGTAGGATCTTAGATTGGTTGCTTTTAACACGTCCATTTCTTCATGTGATAAGGGAGTGACTGGATGATAAGTCTTCGTAGCAGTTTAGGCATCTGGTTTCTCTATTTCGACATTAGGGGAAGTCTTGAAACTAGGATTTTTGTTACCTTGGGTCGTATCGACAGTCTCCTCGAGCGAATGGATTTCTTTGTAAGGTTTGTGAGGGCAAGTAGTCACACAACATATATTCTCGAGTTTCGATGATGACAAAGTTCAACCTCGGATCAATAAGGAGCTGTCAATTTTGCCCAAAAGACAATTGCAACATTTTGCAATATTCAACATATCATATCCTTCCTTTATTTCTTTTAATTCATCATATAATCATTTGCAAAACACGTGATAAATATTCAGTCCTGACAAAACGCACGAAGCAACAAATGATGATTTTTTTGCAGGTTTTACAGCTCTGAGTCGACCATACCAGTCAGCGCACATCCAGTCAAGTTTCCCACTGGTAAGCACACATCCAATCAAGTTTTCCACTGGTCAGCGCATGGACACCATGAGTCGACCATCAGTCGATGCATGAAGCCTTCACAATTTTCACGGGTCAGCGCGCGCCGACCTATGGTCGACGCATACTGTTGAATTTTTAACATTGCTGAAATTTGCAGGTCATGCGTCGACGCATAGACCTGCTATGGTCGACCGTTCGCGCGAAAATGCTGTTTTTAATGATTCCCACTATTATTTGAAAAGATGTTATGTCTTTGGTTGGTCTGTTACTATATATACAAGTTCAAATTACTTATGTCAGACAACATTTGATAAAATTGATTCAAGTGTACAAAGAATAAGAAAGAGTGAAATAGGTGTCCAAGATTCATCATCTTCATCTTCAACATCTCACAACACATCAATTACACACAATCATTTTTGAAGTGCCTTGTGAGTGATTAAAGGTGATAAGGTTTGAAGCCGAGATTGGGTAATCTGGTTCGGGTTGAAGCTTGCGACAGGTTCTTTCTTGAATAAAACCTTTAGGGTTTTGTCCTCCAAGTTTGGTTTGATTTTTGGGGTTTTTTTGGACGAGATTCTTCATCAAGGGTCAGCTGAACAAAGGTGATTGTGAAGAGGAAGTCTTCATCAATCTAGTAGCGGATTCAGTGATATTGAAGGGAAGATCTCGGGTTCGATTCGTTGTAGTTGAGATCAGCCGGGGCCGAAGGTTTGAAGAACTGAGTGTTATTCAATAAAGGGGCTGGAATCGAAGGTCTATCAACAACGATCGGAGGACTTGATTCATCTTGAATCAAGGGACAAGGAGTAGAAGCAACATTCAACGTCTTAAGAATTCTGTTGTAAATTTGTTGTTCAATCCTTGTATAAACTGTTACATTCAACAGGTGATATCTATTAAATCAATCTCAATTCTAGTTTTAGAATTGAGGGAAGACGTACCCCGAAGCGAGGACGACGGGGGAACTGCCTCACCAAATCTTTGTCTTCTCTATTTTTTCAGCATTTTCGTTTTAGCTTAAAAATAAGTGATTTTCGTATAAGCACTATTGTCAAACTGTGATATCAATTGAGTAAGAGGTTGAAACTCTGTTTTTGAATCGAAAGTACAATAAGACATTGTACTAGGCTAGTTGGAATCACTTACTCAACATAAATATCACTTGGAGTGTTTTTGCACACCAAGTGTTCGACAATTTGCCTGAACCAAAATTATCTTATTTGTGTATCTAGTTTTGGTTTGCTCTTTAAATCATTGGAACTAGGAATCCTAACAAGTGAATTAGATCATTGATAAGTGTGACTAGTGTTGTGATTCTTTTTCCATATTGTCATTAATCCATAGGCTTAACGCATATCCGGTTTTCTAATAACCGTTCGTTCTAGACTATATTTTCCTTGGCCGCTTCCGCACTTAAAACAAATTTTCAAAACCAATTTTTTAATTGGTAGCCCCGACTCAATTTTTAATTTGGATCTATTAAAGCCCCCCTTCTAGATCCGTGCCATAGTCTAACAAGTGGTATCAGGAGCTCCGGTTACTCGGTGCTTCAAATACAACGTTGATAGAAAATGGCCAACGAACCTAAAGGGGCTTATAATAGAGCTCCCGTTTTCAATTGTGTAAATTATAGTTATTGGAAAGGCTGTATGCGGGTGCACATAAACTCGATAGATAGAAAAATATGGAACATTATCCTCAATGGTCCAATAGAAATTACTATGACCAATGCGGATAATATGGTTGTGCCAAAGCCCGAAGCACAATGGACCGATGACGATGAGAGAAAATACAATTATGATTGGAAAGCCAAAAATATCCTAATCTCCTCATTAGGTGTAGATGAATACTATAGTGTATCCCATTGTCCTACTGCTAAGGCCATGTGGGATTCACTACAAATCGCCCATGAGGGGACAAACAATGTTAAGTTGGCTAGAATCAACACATTAACACAAGAGTTTGATCTCTTTTTCATGGAGCAAGGGGAAACCATTACTGACATGCAAAAGAGATTTACTCATCTCATCAATCGTTTACATTCATTAGGTAGGCCTGTTTTCAATGATGTTGCTACTAATAAGGTCTTGAGATGTCTTAACAGGGAATGGCAGCCGAAAGTGACCGCCATCAAAGAAGCAAATGATCTTACCATATTAGACTTGACAACATTGTTTGGTAAACTACAAGAGCATGAACATGTACTCTTGAGCCTAGACCAACGCGAAAAGAAAGAAAAGAAGGACAAAACGAAGGTGAGTGAAAAGAAATCTATAGCTCTTAAGACTTCCTCCTCGAAGTCTCAAGCAAAAGAGCAAAGTGATTATTCCTCGAGCGACGAAGAAGAAGAGGACAAGAGCGAAGATATGGGGCTGTTTGTTAAACGTTACAATCGTTACGTGAGAAAGAACGACATCCAACATTCCGAGAAGAACTTGGTAAACTTCCGGAAACAATCGAGGTACTCCAAAGATGATGACTCAAAAGGTAAAAAGACTAGAGGGTCGTGCTACAAGTGTGGGAAGCCCGGTCACTACAAACCGGACTGTCCGATGAACAAAAAGGCAAAGGAGAAGGAATCATCCAGGTTATACAAGAAATCATCAAAGCCAAGGAGAGTGTATATAGCTTGGGAAATCGATAGCGACTCCTCCTCCTCTAATGAAAGCTCTAGTGATGAAGAAGAGTCCGTGAACCTATGCCTTTCCGCACATCAGAAAAATAAGAAAAAGCAGGTACGTCACTCTAAATATGAGAAGTCCTCAAATATGTCACATTTAGAATTACAAACCGCATTCAATACTTTACACAATGAAGCAACCGAAGCCTTTAAGAGACTTGCCTCTAATAAAAGAATTTTTACTTACTTAGAGCACAAAATTAAAGAGTCTGAAAGGAAACTCGAGGAACTTAAGGCTTCCATTG